GCTTTTGTCATTCGATGTGACTCCAATACCCTAACATTTGTCCAAGTCCTAAATACATGTGTTGATTGCTCTAGAAAATTCTTAAATTATTTTATTTATCTAAATTAAGGTTTGTCCAAAGTCCAAACTGAAAATCCTATATACTTCATTGTTTAATCAACCTTGAGCAGGAGCGAATTTACTCTTATGTGTGGTATTTAATTTGTAATTTAATAGTGTGTTTATGTTATCTTGAAATTTAAAGCTAAATTTTAGAGAACAGAATGTTAGAATTTTTAATTCTGATTCTAAAGAATTTGTTAGAGAAGACACTGGAATTAGCAAGTAATTAATCAAGAACAACATATTAGTCAGTTGTCTTTATATACGTCTTACATTTCAGCATCAGGTGGAACTAATTACATGTAATTAAATCAGAGACGTGGTTTCTCGAAAGATCTAATTTCATCATTTGCTCAAATAGATTAAACAAATTAGAGATGCTCTTAAATTTAAGACTGAAAGAATGAGTTGTTTAAATTAAATGACCTTATTACCAGAAAGCTACACAACTTGATCTAGGAAAAGGTGAAACATTATACTGTTAATTATGATAAACAATCTTCACTCCTATCAAAGCCCTTTTTTATTTCTTTAGACAAGATTGAATCTTTAGTAGGACCTTTCTCGACCGACCATTGGGCCATAAGACATTTTCTTATTATTATTATTGTTGTGTTAGAATTTAGAGCACAACAATTTGAAATAAAATAAAAGGAAAAGAATAAAGTCTTGGTGCAATTACCGTAATACATGACAAGACACAGTTGTAGCAATAATATTCTGGCTCTTTTAATCAATGATAAGCAGTCGTAATTTTCATATAAGCATTAACCGATAGATGCCCCACATTTATTGAATTCCTTTACTAAACCGAAGTTCTTTTAATTTTTCTCTTGGAACAATAGAGGTATTATATAACACACAAATTGCGAAAAAAAAGCCAGTCAAAAGCTGAAATATACAACGGCTGAATAGACTGGGAGGCAGACCCGAAAATCACCTAGAGCCAGACCTAGCAACTCTAGAAAACAAAACACAACACTACAAGACAAAACACAAAACTAATGTATCCCAATCGGATAATGCCCGAGTGAGAATCGATCTCAATAAGATAATAAATCAATCACTCGGGAGAACAACATCGGCCGAGAGCTCAAACAAAAAACACAGACTTACAAACAGACTGAAACTAAACAGAACATAACAAATACTACACGAAACAAAACGAAACAAAACAAAATATAAAACGAGAGCCCTTCCCACAGTGGAAAACCACACCAAGCACAACAATGGTAGAGTCGCGGCCCAGGATCTCGACCCAGAAACTGCTAGAGAACGCCTAGCTGTGTCGAGAACCGACGGGCCCAACCCTCGTCCAGTCGAACAACCCCACTGCCACCCGGAGACAAACACACCCAACCAACCAGTCAACAACAATGGCCCGAGCCTCGAGCATAGCAGCCCAGCCATTCGATCGCTGTCGACCGTGACTCCAACGCCCTGCACCAAGACCGAGAAGAACAAAATTGGCCAGAGCATTGTCTCCACCCCAAACTCTAGATCAGAAAATTGGGGTCGCAAGCGCCTCCAAAAGAACACCAGAAGGCCGCCGCTGCGGAGACACCGGAGGAGAAACAGCCACCCGCCACTCACTCCCAGCACCCGAGGTAGAAACCGAAAAAAGGGCACGACCATCTCCCCGGCGAAAAAGCCCCCTCCTTGCGGCGCAACTCTCGGAAACGAGCCGCGAGGCCCAGTAAAGCCACCACCGTGCACTCGCCGAGCCCTACCGACGGAAATTATCGACGGGAAGTTAGGGATTGAGGATTTGGGGGAAAAGAGGTGACAGGTCGCTTGAAAATGAAAAAACAGAACTTCAATGTTAGTGTTGTTTTTAATCTATAATTTTTTTTTTTTTTTTGATGNCTTGTGGATTTGCATAAATATATATTTTTTTTTTTCGAAACGATAGAGATTTTATGTGAAAACGCACAAATGTGCAAAAGAACAGTCACCAGCTGAATACAAACAGCCAACGACTGAATACAACCAGCCAACAGCTGCATAAAATGGGAGGACAGGTCAAAAGACCGCCTAGAGCCCGATCCCAACAGGACTATACTCGGAAACACACAAAAAGACACTAGAAACACTAAAAACGGCCCCAACAGGGTAATGCTTGTTAGAGATCATAACCAGTTAATTTGCTGAAAAATATTTAATTTATTATAACAATTGCTTATGCAATTTTAATGGATTTTACTATGACATTAAAAAAATTAATTTATCTAAAAAATGCTTAATTAGATTAAAAAAAATATAATATTGATTTTAGAATAAATAACTTGAACAAAAAATTTTACAACATAATTTTTTATGTTTATGTAACCGTATATATCATTTATATCATTTAGTGTAAAATAAAATTATTAATTTTAATAATAACTATTATGTGATACAATAAAAAATATAATTCTTACTCAACTAACATAAAATGTAACATTTTTTGTATTAATTATCGAAATCAGTTTTTGGAAAGTTATGTGCCAAGTAAGTATAATTTGTAAGGTTAAATTTATGAGGTAAATTTATGAGCTTTTATTTAATGAATTGCTAGCAATTATATATATTTATGGTTAAACTTTTGAATACAAGTTTATTTACAGAAATTCTATGGCGCCCATATGGGCACCATATGGTGCCATAATCTCACGATCCAACGCCTAATAACCATTCTATCAATTCCACAATGAATATTAGCGTTAGATCGTGAAGATTATGATACAATATGGTGCCCATATGGGCGCCATAGAATTTCTGAGTTTATTTATGATGGAAATGTATTTTTTTTAAGTTACCTTTTTTTTAACGGAACGATAGGAAACTCAACTAAATAAGAAAAAAGATACAAAGTTTATAGACACGAAATACACAACGTAGGTCGCCCGAAACGTCGAGGGCCAAAGCCAGAAAGAATCGTGACTAACAACAACACGGCCTAGAAAAATGAAATACACAAATACTAACTACAGGCAGCAACAATGCACTGAGCCCTCACAACACCCGCACCCACTGCCCAACCAAATATAAGGAAAAAACAACGAAATACACTAACCACTGAACTGCCAAATAGACCTAGCTAGTCCACTCTGTCGGGAAATCCTCGAGCAAGCGCCCTGCTCCTCTGTTTCTGACCATGCCTTGACCGCGGCCTGCACAATGCTGAGCTCTGGTCTCCATACTCCATCAAAATTCTAGAGATACCTAGATTTACAAAGCCACCACATATATGTTGTGAGCTGTATATATTCTGGCCTCAGAAAACTCATAGTGATCCAATGAACATTATTTACCCTACCATCTTTGAACCTGCAAGAATCAGAAGTAATCCCATCCCAACTTGTTGATGCATGTTTCCACACCTTCCTTGCCTTTCTACACATGAAAAAATATTTCTTATTGTCTACTCCTCTTCCTCACAATCCTTGCAAATCACATCCACTACTACACCTCTCCTCTTCACATTCATATTAACAGATATAATACCAGAAAAACACTTCCAAAGAAAATGTTTCATCTTACCTCAGATTCTCAGTTTTCAGCTTATCTGCCTAACTTTTTTATCCTTATTGGAATATTACTTCCTTCAGCTAGGTTAAGACTGTGCAGTTTCCTCTTAATCAAGTCACAATAGGAAGAAGCCACTGAGATTTTTCCTTTTGCACCCTATTTCCAAGTCCATTTATCCACAAGAAGAGGATCTAAAAATTGTATCTCCAAAATGGCTCTATTATCATCTTCATTGATGACTTCTTTCACCCTATGCTTTAGCCAGTTTCTCCCACTCTCATCAATCAAATACTTGACCCACAAATGCCTATAGTTCGCCTCATCAATAATATGAGGTTTTTTCGTATCCCAAACCGGGCACGCAGCCGAAATCCTGCACTTTTAATGAAGCCCTATTTCTGACTTCCACCTTTAAACCTTTTTGTAGCTTCCATTGCACCTTTCACCAGCTCCTCAATTAACAAGATTATATTTGTTTCAGTTGTACATAAAAAAATAGAAGAATTAGGGAAAAGCCTACTTGTTATGACTATGAGCATAACGAGTTCAAGTTGGGTAACAATTCTTCAGAGTTGCACAGCCAGGATAGCTTCATTAAACAAGCAAATATATATCTTTAAACCACAAGACTCCATTGTCTTTTTGTGTTGTCAACACATTCCAATTTCTCCAATGTATGCCCTTAGCCTGTTCATTGCCCTTGTTCCACTAGAAGCTAGCATAAAGACTAGCTATTTCTTTACAAATCCCCAGTTAAAGCTTGAAGCAAGTCATCGCAAATATTGGTAAAGCATTAAGAACAAAGTTTATTAAAACCTCCTTACCATCTGTGGACAGGTAAACATTCTTCCAATTTAAAATTCGTTTCCTAACTGCTTCCACCAGAAAGGCAAAAACTTCTTTTTTTGATTAGCCTATACCCAAAGGCAAGCCCAAATACCAGGTTGATCTCTGTGATTGAATACCAATTAGAACCTAGCAAATCTCTTCTTGAGCCTCCAAAGAGGTATTCTTACTTAAAAAGATAGAAGACATAGCAAGATTTACCTTTCGACCAAAAAAAGCATTGTAGTTATCAAGCATTTATAACAACACCCAGGCATGATTAGAACCAGCTTTACAGAAAACCATTGTATCATCTGCAAACAAGAGATGAGAAATCACAATTCCATCTTTTATCCTCCAAACAACGCCATATCCACATGGGCATAAATTAAGGAAGACAAAATCTCATAAACAAGAATGAACACATATGGACAGATTGGGTCTCCTTATCTTAAGCCTCTTGAAGCAGTAAATTAACCACATATGTCACCATTAATAAATATATATAGAGAAACAAGTTGTGGCCACACAAGCCATGATCCACTTCATAAACTTCTGATCAAACCCCATTTTTTACATAGTCAGACTTCTGTACTTCCATTCTACTCTGTCATAAGCTTTCAACATATTCAACTTATGGCCATGTAGTTATGTTTTCTGAATTTGTGTCTATTCAAAAAAATGAAAAGCCTCTTGAGCTATCACTACATTATCACTTAGCTGCCTCACACAACTATGAAGACACTTCTTTAGTGTATGAGTCAAATTTTTTAAATCATTTTGTACACCATTGCACACAAGCTATTTGTCCTGGACAAGCTATTTGTCCTAAACTTGCTTAAGGAAGTTAGATTATTACACTTAGGAATCAAAGTGATCATAGCATGGTTCCAATAGCTTAATAACTTCCCAGAATCTAAAAGCCTTTCAATTGCCAGACACATATCTTCTTTTAAGAGAGGCCAAAAATGTTGGAAAAACAAAGCAGACATACCATCAACTCCTGGGGCCTTCATTCGACTTAGACTGAAAAGCACAAGTCTAATCTCCACATCATTCACTGGGCAAGCAGGTCTTCATTCATTTGAAGAGAAATTGAACTTGTGGGATTATGCAGCAAGTTTGCACCTCCACTAGAGCCCTCAGATGTAAACAACTTCCTGTAGAAAGAAGAAAAATGATCTGCCATAGCTTCATGGGCCTCACTAACTAAGTTCCGTTTAGCTATGAGTCGGCTGATTGCATTTTTTTTTTCTTTTATTGTAGAACATGATCTACCATATGTCGAATGTTCTTCAACATCAACATCATTCTATGAACACTGCGGCAAAGATACTTCTCAATCTCAATGCTCTGCTTGGGCATCAGTCTAGGGCTGCCAGGCAGGAAGCCATGAGGACTCTGATGAATATGCGTATGGCCTAGGGCACACCCGTGAGGGAGCACGCCCTAATTGTCATGGCACAGCTCAATGAGCTGGAGGTCCTGGGAGCTTTTACTGATGGAAAAACCCAGGTTGATATTATGTTGCAGTCTCTGCCAAAGAGCTTTGACCAGTTTCATTTTATCTACAACATACATAAGATATTGATGTCTCTTCCGGAAATGATAGCAGAGCTTCAGTCGGCAGAAGCCCTGTTTCTTCAGAAACCTCAGATGCTAGCCGCCGAGCAGGCAGGACCTTTCTCTGGGCCCAGCAAGGGCAGGAAGAGGAAGAAGTCTGCAGGAAAGGCGAAGGCGCATATGGCTGCAGTCATTCCAGGACCGATCCTCAGGAAGTAGCAAAGAAACCGAAAGGGAAGTGCCACAAGTGCAACAAGTCAGGACACTGGTGTTAGTCCTTCATGAACTCACTCAGGGGACATCATCAAACTAACACACATGGTGACCGTAAATATTCTAACAACACATCCTATATATTGTAATATTACCCAAAACAGTAGGAATATTAATCCAGCGAACTGAACTTCACCCAACTGAATCAAAGTAATATATACTCTATATATCTGCCTGTTTAATATCTTACGGGTTAAGAGAACGCAGTAATTAACCGAGGCCTAGTTCATTTACAACGATCAGTATAAAATGAACTCTCTTCTCTGGGATCCTGTTCAATACATAAATGTACTAGTGCAACTAATCAGTCAAGACAAACTGTAAAATTGACACTACAACCGTTCGGATAGGGTGTTCATGTCCATCTAGATTGTGAACAACTATTCTTGTTCGCAAGTAACTGATAGAATGATCTTCGGTTCGCCTGATGACGACCCACCCTATCTAAGTGCAGAACAACAAAACGTAAAACTTGTTTAATCTAACATGATTCTCATTCATAAAGCGCAAATGTGTATAACATGCAAAGCGAAGCTTTCAGTATATAACACTAACAATCTCCCAATTATACTTAAATCTTTCGCTTTTACAGTATAGTCCTATCAATCCGTTATTCTAAAAGACCTATGTCGATCCTATTGGCATGCTCATGACTCCAATTCCTTCCACGTGTTTGACGAAGACCTTCCCCGGCAAACTCTTCGTGAAAGGATTAACTAGGTTGTCCTCTAACGCAATCTTGGCAACATCAACGTCTCCTCTACCAACGATATCTCGAATCAGATGGTACTTGCGCTCTGTGTTTGCTTGCTCTGTGGGCTCGAGGTTCCCTTGAGTTTGCTACTGCTCCACTATTATCACAGCACACGGTGATAGTTTGTGGCAAACTCGGTATCACTTCTAAGCCCACTAAGAAGTTCCTGAGCCAAACTGCCTCTTTCACTGCCTCTGAGGCTGCTATGTACTCGGCTTCCATAGTGGAGTCTGCCACGCATTTCTGCTTAGCACTCCTCCATGAAATGGCTCCACTTCCCAAGGTAAACACATAACCTGAGGTTGACTTACTTTCATCCCTATCTGACTGGAAATCGGAATCACTGTAACCCAGAGGTAACAAGCTGTCTGCACGGTAAACTAACATGTACTCCTTAGTCCTTCTCAGGTACTTGAGTATATGCTTCACCGCAGACCAATGTTCCCGTCCCGGATTACTTTGATATCTAGTCACCATGCCAACGGCGTAGCTAATATCCGGCCTAGTGCAGAGCATTGCATACATAAGACTTCCTATTGCCGAAGCATAAGGAACTGTCTTCATGTCCTCTATCTCCTCAGACGTCTTAGAAGACATCTCCTTAGATAGAGGCATTCCATGTCTGAAATGTATACCCTTCTTGGAATCCTGCATTCTGAATCTGGCCAAGACAGTATCTATGTATGAAGATTGAGATAAGCACAACATTCTCTTCTTACGGTTTCTAATGAGCCTAATACCAAGAATGTGTCATGCTTCTCCTAAGTCCTTTATATCAAACTGCTTAGACAACCACACATTTACGTTTGACAACTCCTTCATACTGTTTCCAATAAGTAGTATGTCATCTACGTACAGCACAAGAAACACCACCACGCTCCCACTGATTTTCTTGTAAACACAGTTCTCATCCGGACATTGAGTGAACCCGTACGACTGGATCACCTTGTTAAAACGGATGTTCCAAGATCTCGAAGCTTGCTTCAGTCCATAAATAGACCGATTAAGCTTACTAGATGCTCACGACCTTCAGCAATGGATCCCTCTGGTTGCTGCATATAGATGTCTTCCTGAAGGTTCCCGTTAAGGAAAGCCGTCTTGACATCCATCTGCCAGACCTCATAATTCATATGAGCGGCTAGAGAATCTAAATGGACTTAAGCATAGCTACTGGCGAAAAGGTCTTATCATAATCAATACCCTCAATCTGGGTATAAACTTTCGCAACAAGACTAGCTTTAAAGGTTTGCACCTTCTCATCCGATCCTCTCTTTCTCTTATAGATCCACTTAAATCCAATGGCTCGCACCCCATCGGGTGGTTCTACAAGATCCCAGGCCAGATTGGAGTCCATTGACCCCATTTCTGCTTTCATTGTAACATTCCATGAATCTGCATCTTTATCTTGGAGTGCCTCATCGTAAGTTCTGGGGTCCGATTCTAGATCTCCTGGAATTGAGTCGGATGACTCTTCAAGACCTATCCATCGATCGGGTAAATGAGAAAACCTCCCACTGCGACGAGGCACTGTCTGCACTGATACACTATCGGTGTGACGTGTTGCAGTATTATGTGATGTATCTACTTGCGCACTCGGTGGGGAACCATCAACTTCACTCCTTAATTCCGCTAAGACTAGTCTACTCGCGGGCTTATGATTCATAATACAGTCTTCTTCCAAGAATCTAACATTCGTCGAAACGATCACCTTCTCATCCTCAGGACTATAAAATAATCCACCTTTCGTTCCCTTGGGACAACCTACGAAAACTCGTGCTTCCGAACGTTTCTCCAACATGCCAGGTTCCTACACTAACACGTGTGCAGGACTACCCCAAACTCGAAACTGTGAGAGACTGGGCTTGCGCCCTTTCTACATCTCATAAGGAGTAGTGTCAACTGACTTTGATGGAACCATGTTCAGAATATACGAAGCTGAACGAATCTGGTAACCTCGAATAACTCATCATAGACCTAATGATCTCCATAAGAGTCTTATTTTTTCGCTATGCAACCCCG